CCTTTGCTAATAATTAGGGACCTACTGAATTCACAGCAGAAGTGGGCTGCACAGCAGCTCCTTCAATCTTCCAGGTTCCTCCACACACCCCCACCCCTTGCCAATTGACAGAGGGACCCTGCTGCTTGCTTCAGATTGGCAGGAAGGTGAAAGCTGCAGTTTTAAGTATGGTGCCATTTTGCCTCCCAACTGGTCAGCAACAAGCAGCAGAGCCGCCAGAACCCCTCAGCCAGTCAGCAATGGGAGAGGGTGTGCAAGGGAACCTGCAAGATTAAAGGAGCTGCTGCGTAGCCCACTCTGCCATGAATTTGGCAGGTCCCTAGTAATGCTCCACTCTTTTGAGTCCTATTAAATATTTATTGGGCCAGGGAGATTGTGTTAGAGTGAAACTATATTTTACCTAGTTAGCTTGGGTACCATAATTTCAGTAGATCAGATACCATGGAGCTCAGCTCTAGTTAATGTACTACATTTCTCAGGAAAGAGGTTTTACAGCCTGCACTGTGGTCATGTTGCTGTAGCTAGCCTGCTACTGGTACCCAAGCTACTTTAAAACTAGTTCTGATACTTTTTACACTATGCTCTAGTCACGTTTTTTAACTTCAGTGTAGACATAGCCTTAGCAGTTACCTTGTGCAAGTGGGGAATCTCTGTTTCCATGTCTGCTTCAATGAATGTTTATATATTTTACATGAAGAACATGAGCAGTTAAAGGAGTATGTTTGAGGAGGGAGGACCTCTTTGTTTTGTTTTGTGGGGAGGGGGTTTGAGAGAGAGAGGGCACAGTAGCATTTCAAAGTTGGTTGCATTATTTTATATTACTAACAATGTTTTCTATGTGCATTATTTCTTGTTTTACTAAGAAAAGTAATAATACACCCTCTGAAATTTGACTGCCACTATTATTCCTTACATCTCAGAGTTTAAGTTTTAATTGCCCTGAAATTTTAACTTCGCGTAGTGCTTTTTGAAAAGACCTAACATGGCAGAATCCTGGCCTATGCCTCTACAAAATTTAAGTGGTAGTATGGGAAGAAGAGTGATAAGTTGTGCACAATACTAGATCAGTACTCTCCAGTTCCATTATGCATATGCTTGGGAGAAATAATACATGTGCTAACTCAGGGGTGGCCAACCTGCAGCATGAGTGCTACAAGTAACATGGGCAGTCACTGTGCTTGGCATGTGGCAGATAGGACCTGAAACTGAGCAGCAGATCAGGCAGAGGAAGGGAATTAGCTCCACACCCTCCACTACACTCATGGAGGGTGTGGGGCTTCACTGTGCTTGGCATGTGGCAGATAGGACCTGAAACTGAGCAGCAGATCAGGCAGAGGAAGAAAATTAGCTCCACCCCCTCCACTACACTCATGGAGGGTGTGGGGCTAATTTGTGGCGGGCCTGCCAAAAGTTGGTTCCCACTGTTCTAACTCACGCCATTGTCATATGGTCTTTTGGAAACCTATCAGTTCTGAAAGCCTAGCTCTATTCCAACCAAATTATTCCACTTCTTTGTCTTCCCCCTTGTGGTTGAGTCAAATCTGGGAGCAGGTGCAAGAACTGACTATGCTTTGTTATGCCAGTGACAATTTTTTCTCTGGAAAATTATTGTCAAAATACAGTTCTTTAAAGCCAGATAAGTGCCATTTTTTAATCAGGTTGCCTGTGTGATTAGGTTTCAAGTGTCCTTTGCCCCAAGCATAATTCCCATTGCCAAATAGATAGAGCTAACGATTTAAAAGGCTGAGCCTGGTACATGGATACCAGTCCACCATACTTCCCACATACTTGTAGGATGTTGTCTGTTGTAGTGTTCCTTTATTTGCACAAAAAAATAGTGCACGAAAAATGCACAAGTGCATTTTTTTAAAGCTGGAAATGTAAGTGTGTCACAGAAAGTTTTGACAAGAGCAGCACAATTGGCAAGATAGGACTCTAGTAAAATTTTGATCAAAATATCCTAGAAATGTTTTTCCTCTCATTATTCCACAGTAGGATGATGTTGTTATCTTTGTAAAAGGGTAAAATTCTAAGCCTGTATCTAACTTCCACAAATTGCCCATACAGTTAGTTGTACACATACAAGTCGAAACACCAGTTATAATGCATATCACTTGTGTTTGTACTTTAAGTAATTTAACAGTTGATTTACCCACGACCATTGGGAAGTGTGTGTATTTGTCTGAGCTACACAGGGCCTGTGAAAATTAACATGAATGGGAATCTGAAAAACAACAAATTAACAAAATACAAAGGAATTAAACCTTCCATGTGGCCTGCAGAGGTGGAAAAAAAATCCTAAGCACTGTAGAGAAAAATGAAAGACGGCAACTAAACAAAGAGAGTCAGCATTAGATAAAGCTTACAACTCACTTAAAAGCTAAAAGAAGCAAAAATATAACCAGGGAAGAAAAAGGTCTTTTACAATTATATGAGAGGAAAGAAAATGCTAGGCAGAAAGTAGGTCATTTAACAAATTAAAGTAAAGGTGAAATTAGGAGGTTTCTATCTGTCAGAAGAAGGATGTTCTGGACATCTAGGAAGAGTGGGAAAAGAAACCCAGTTTTAAAATGGAGGTCCACTATTTTGTTAAAACAGATTCTATAATATGGTTTCCTGTAATGGCAGTGACTGGACTTACGACCCAGGAGGTCCCTTCCACTTCTGGGTTCCTATGAAATTAATTGTGACTTGACTGAAAAGTAGCTGAGAAACTAAGATGTTTTCTTTTATTTTCTCTTACTCATATAATTTTTCTTAAATGTGAATAATTAGGGACAGGAATAAGTGTTTAAAGTATAAAATAAAGAGCAGATAATGGAACAATTCAGAAATATCAGTATTTTTAGATTTGATATCTGAAAACCAGAATTCCAGTTCACTCTCACTTCCCCTCCTGCCCCCCAAATAAATAAATGAAAAGGCAAGATGCATCTCAGAAAAACCTATTGGGTTGATCATCACCTGGGAGTTAAGGGTGCTTGTACACGTGGCTAAAATTGCCCTTTTGTGTGGCTTAATGGCATCACACTTTACACGTAGACATGTTTTTCGCATTTGAATGAGTTTGCATCATCATAAACTAATCCCCATCCTGATGTAGTTTAGTTTGTAATGATGCAACTTGGAATAGTGCAGCCATTAATCTGTCATTCATACATGGTAATTAATTAAATGACATGTGGTTAGTCCCTTTGTCCATTAAGTGTTGCTACAATTTGCAGGTATATCAGTTCTTGGCCTCTTTTGGGCTAAGATCCAGTGTAGTCACTGCACTGGTCTGTTACCTGAACCTAGATGGATTTAAATGCCATTGTATAGTGGAGTGTGCACCCCTGTCCAATGCATCACGGATGGGAAGCCCTATGAGTCTTGTAATTAGCTTCTCACTGGCTAGCTTCCAGTGAGAGAATCTCAGGTACGTGCCTACTTTAGGGAAATGGGGGACTCCTCGCTAGCTTGCTCCTATGGGCTTTGGTTAAGGGCAAGTGAGATTCGGGGGCATCTGAACTCCAAGTCTCTGGGCTTAGGCCTGCATGTAGGATGCCCACCAATGGATCTGGGAGTATCTGAAACCCTAGGCTAAAGTCTGGGGTGGAGGGTACTTGCTGGTAGTAGCGCCACATATACTGCTTGAACAACTGAGTGTTGCTAAATCAAGAGGATTCAGAACTGATTTGGCTAATTTGACTTGGAATATGAAAAATTTTTCCCCCAAAAAAGTTTGTGTGTAATGAATGTTTTAGAACACCAGGGGGAACTGATGACTGATGCCAAAACTATCAATATTCACAGAGCATAACTTTTACGTACCCAGCAAAAAAAAACAGACTTTGCCTGGAAACAGCTGTGAGAAAGCCCTGCTCCTCTCCACCTCTAAAAACGTCCCTTTTCAGCTGGCTGCAGCATAATTGTCCCCTTAACACCATTAATTTGCTCACCAGTTTTATGTAAACCTGACAAACAGAGTTCTGTGAACCTGCATGAGCAAGCAAAAAAGCACACCAGTTTTATGAATAGCGTGTGAGTTCTGTCAGCATTCATTCCCTCACTGGCTATGTCTCGCTGGAAGCAGTTTCTTGACACATGGGTCACTGGCTAGCCTGCTGTTGTGCCATGGCCCGACAGCACAGCCTGCATACACAGGGCTAAAAGACATCCAGAACAAGAATGCCCATAAGATACAAAGTTGCAACTGGTGCAGACACTGCCTGGCACCAGCATGTCTGATGTCCAAATTTTGCCCAGCAACAACAAGGTGGAAGGGGGAGTGAACTTCCCTTTGCCCTGTCACCTCAAGACTTATAAATTGAGCTCCCTGGGGTACCCCTTATTGATCTGAGATGTCTGACATTAAGGGGAGAATGGAGCAGACTAGGGCACGTAGGTTGAGGTCCAATTGCACCTTTGCCAAAACAAAGAGCCTGGTGCAGGTGCTGGGGGACCTTGAGGTCATGTGCCAGTTTGTCTGCAGCCTGTGGGCCAACTGGCACGTCTACCTTGATGTTGCCGGAAGAACGAGTGAGTGGGGACACAACAGGATGGCAGTCAAGTGCTATGTCAAGGCAAAGATACTGTGGGCCGCTTTTCACAGGGATGTCGCTGGAGTACAGTGGCAGGAAACCACACCGCATGACATTGCCTATTACAGATGCTTCCAGCCAAAAATGGAGTTACTGGATCACTGTGATTGCACAGGAACAGAGATCTCTGGGACATCCCAGCCTGCTGCTGAGACATAGCCAACAGCTGCTGTGGCTCACAGGGGCTCCAATGCAGAAGATAGTAGCAGGGTCCCTGTCATGTCACTTCATTCAAGAAGGATAGACTATGGAGCTCAACCTCCACATCCAGTATGTAAAACTCTGGGGACCCTTTAAGCCACCTGTCACCTGAACAGCTGTGATTAGGCTGGGCTGTGAGGTGAAGGCAGGGAGGTGTCTTTTTAGAGCACCAAGCATCCTTAATTCAATCTATTTCCCGCATTTCTCCATTTTCAGCTCCACTTGTAACACTGCCACTGGGGACATGTAGGCTACAGAGGCAAGCTGCCGCCGATGCATGCACAGACAGGAATGTGAATGCCTGCAGGACTGCAGTCATTGGCTCTGTGAGATGGTGAGACAGATCATCTGGCTACAGGCAAATTCATGGCTGTTCAGTGCGACAGAAATCACTCCAAATCCAGGAGGCATTTCCAGACCCAGGAGGACTGGTGAATAATGGCTGGGTTCCTTGCAACAATTCTATGCCTGCTGGTCATCAGCCCCGTTCCTGCCTGAGAGCAGGACAGTAGGGGCCAAGCTCTGCCATCCACCAGTTTGCAGTCAAGGTCAGAAAGTCCACCTTAGAGCCAAGGTTTTTTAATTACAAATGATTATTGCTTAGACTGATTTTTTTTCCACAAATCAGGCATTGTTATGGTAGTAAAAATAAATTCCTCTGTTGTAGTAATTATGCATTGTTATCTTTATAAAAGCTGTTCTGTGGTTTGTTTAATTAAGGTTAACATTTGGTTTGTAAGTAAAGGTTTCTATTTCCTTTGTTCAATTCTTCACTTCATGTTCCCTGTGTATAAGAGGGGAAGTGTAGAAGGATGGGGGGAAGGGGGTTGCTAGATTGTAGGATGAGGGGCTTGCATGAGCTCATGATGGGCATGATGGGCATGCCTGTCTCTCAATAGTGGCAATTAGCAGTTAGTCAAGCCTCCCTGCCTGGTTTTGAATATGCTTTATTCTCTTCCACTGCCAGTCACCAGCTGAACTCCTGAACCCCGAGAAGCTGCATGCACTCAGAGGAAATACTGTGTGCTGTGCAGCATCAACCCAATTACTGTTCCCCACATTAATACAATTTGGGACCAGCCCACCACCATCTGGCCTTGGTTTGGCTACTGTGTCTTTCTCTGGTCACAATAACAAAAGCTCAAGCTTTGAAAGCCACCGTCCCCTTCAGTTCTCACCTTGGGTAGGGTGGCCGGGGAGCACTAAGAAGCTGCATGTGCTCACAGGAAATAATATGGTTGCTGTGAAGCACCCCCAATTACTGCTTACTGCCATACCCCACAGTACCCACATTCTGGGCAAGCATCCTCCCCACCCAGTCCAGAGGTGGACATATCCTCTTTTTTTTTTCCTTTTTCTTTTTCTTTTTTTTTTTTGGTTTGGCTTATCTCCCCCCACAACCCATGCTTCAACCCTTCCTGTTACAGCAGATGGACATAGACAAAAATTCATTTCAATTTCACCAAAGCATTTATTTTTATTGTCAGTAACCAAAGCAGAACTGAATAAACACAGGAACACAATGCCCACTCCCCAGTTTCTTACAGAAGCAAGAGCACTAACAACTAAAAACCCATCACCCATCATACGTTCTTCTTCCCACCCAGTGCTCTCACTGTCTCACCCTCCCTTTTGTCCTTAAAGTGTAATAGTGCTCTCCTTGACCTGCTATAGTAGGGGTGTCCCTCCCTTCCAGGCAGAGTGGCTGTCACTGAGGTTCTTGCTATGGTGGGGCTGATCACAGATAGGGGTCTGTATGAGTGTCAGCTCACAGATAGGGGAATGCACAATGGATGTTGCATGGGTGATTGGGAGCGGGGGGGGAAGAAAAGGCTCATAAATGGGAGCTGGGGTCCTGTGTCTAAGGAGCTCCTCTCTGAACATGCCTCCTCTCTGAAGTTTGCCTGTTCTCCTTGAAACCTTGCCAGCACTGTTTGGCCAAGTCAAGGAATTCCCTTTTGCTGGCCATGATGTCCTGGTGACCTGTTGTTTTTTGCTCTTCAGCCTTTCTATACACCTCCCAGAGTTTGTCCTGCTATTCATCTGAAGACCATACTTGTGATTCCAAGGCCATTACCAAAGCCTCCATCATGCTTTCTCTTGCTTGTCGCTGCCTGTGCCAGTGTTCACACATTCGCTCAGCTCTGGTCCATGCTGGTGTCCATGCTTCAGGAGCATATCCACACCTTCCAGTGGATGTGGTAGCTATAGGAATGGGGAGTAAAAAGGTGTTCATGGTCCAAAATCTTGTCCCCACTCCCTGTAGGAGACAGACTATTGGTGATCTGCAAGCATCATTCCTGCCACTTGGCAAATTAATACAGCCACCTGCAAAGGATGATTAGGCAGGAACCCAGATGTCTCCCCATTCCACTAAGGAGTTCATTGTACATCTCTCAGCAGCAGAAATTTCTGCTGTTCCATGAATGAATGCTCCCCCCACCCAAGCAACTTTAAGAGTGGGCACAGCATGTCCATCCCCATGTAAGTGAAACTTTGAATGACTGCAAGCAGCAGACCTATTTTTCTGCTTACAAAATTAACGGCCTCCCTCCTGCCTTATTGTGCTTGGCCTTGGCACAAAAGCAGGGCTAGATCCATGTAAGCCCTCATCATGCAGACCAATCTAATGCCCCTGCCCTATAACTTACAAGTCTCTGGGCATGGATCCTCATGCGTCTCTGGCGCTGACACTATTCTTTGGGTCTCTGGAATTTCTGGCATGTCCCACCATTCTGGGAAAACTACCATCATGGAATCTGATGTGTCATCCTCTGGGATATGTGGGCAAGGCATTGGGGAGAGTGGGGTCATTATCAAGACAACTTTATCTCAGCTGTCCCTGTCCTCCAGCTGCTGCGAGCATTTTCCCCCCCTGCCTCCAACTGGTTGCCTGAAGGCTTCACTGTGCATATCGCAGTGGCAGGACAGTCTGTGGACTCTTGCAGGCTAGGTGATGCTGTGGATTGGAGACGAGCAACACCTATGTCTTTCACGAGAATGCAGGACAACTGCTCATAGAATGGGGCTATCATCGTGTGTCCTGCCACCAAATGAGAACTCTTGTCCTTGGTCCTATGGAAAGAACATTTCAAGGCCTCCATCTCGCTCACTGTGACACCATGCCCAGCCCTTGTTGTGGTTGCGCACCTTCATTTCCTGGGCAACAGCTGCATAGACTAACTTATTTAATTGATTTTTCTGGCTACTCCAGAACCTTTTGTTCCTCGCAAATATCAATTAAATCTACCAGTTCTTCCCGGGCCCAGCTGGGGCCATGGCTTAGGGATGTATCTGGCTGCTGCTCCAAGCCTAGCAGACATGGTTTGTTCTTTGGTGCCTCCACTGAGTATATTTTCGGTGCCAAAATGAGTCTCTGAGAGAGGGGTTGCTATGCTGTGACCAGAGTCATGAGATGCTTTCCACTCCTGGCTGAGAGCAGTTATATAGACATGTGTATGGAACCTGGAACCTCTGCGTGCAAGTCTGGGTTTCCACATATGCATAACTATGCAGGTGTGAGCTGTGTCTCAGTACCAGCATGCACGGAAATCTGCTTATGTGACCTTTCCTAACAGAACACCTGTGACAGCTATAGCCTGCCTTAAATTGTCCCCCATTGTTCAGAAGGATAGATGTCAATGGCTCACTGCCGTACACACCCACAATTCTTTGCCTGGCAGCTTTACAATGCAGCTTGAAGAGACGGCAGCTATCCCTTGAAGCATACACCCCCTTCCCCACCCCCAGCTGAAGACTGGCCTGGCACAAGGGCTGTGGTAATTACAGGGACAGAGGTTTGTTAGGCCTCTACTGTGCCAGGTGTCTACGATTCGCTTGCACCTGAAAGAGTCAATCCCGCAGAGTACTGGTCTGCGGCCCAGCTCCAACCTGAGGCCCACTATTATTACTGAATACAAACACAAAGTAAGGGTTATTAACCAATCTGTATTAGAAGCCAAAAATAGTAATAATTATAGCAACATGAACTAGTTAACCACTTAACAGAACGCTATATACAAATATATACAGAGAGTCATGCTGGCCTGTCACCGGCAGTGGCAGCCAAGAGCACTGACACCCAGGCGGCAGGGCCTGCTGTCACATCCCTGCCAGGCAGAGGATTTCTATCCTTTCCTCCACAAGTGGAGTACTTGGAGACCTCAAAAGGGAAGGGTGATACTTTACCCATCCGATGGAAAATGAAGGTGAGTGTCTCAGGTGAGAGTTCCTGTGTCCCCGCGCACACCACTCAGCACCCGCACTCCCAATCTTCCCAGCCTCTCCAGCAGATTCAATACCATGCAAAACGCTCAGACTCAGCTCACACCACTTCTGGTGTACGCACTCTTCACCACATACACATCCACACACGCACCAAGATGGTGCCTCACACTGGCTTTTGTAGTGGCCACCTCACACTACCTGCCAATCATACCATGATCCAATCACTGCTTGCACCTCTAGACCAATCAAAGTCACTCAACCATATCATTTTCTTGAACCAGTCATATTAATTATCACTTCATAACTCATTAACATAAAGTTCCCGCTCTCTGGTTATATAACAAAGTTTCAGCTGCGCATGCCTCGGTGTCCTAAGCAGGTCATAGCCTCATCGAGGTCAGAAGTTTAGATGTTCCAGAGACTTCTAACCTCTAGCCACCCTACGCGTGTGTAATCACTATTATGACTAGGCCAGGACTCACACTGTTTACACAGCAACACTGTTCAATTTATCAGTTGCTCAACTGTGCTCCTGGGGGGTCTGTTTGGTTGGGGTGGGGATTCAGGGTTCGTCCATTTAGTCTTCTGTTCAGTTCCTGCCTTTTCCACTGAGCATTTGACAGATTTGGGGGTAATCCCCAAAAAACCTAAAACCCCAACTTTTTAGAGGAGGGGCAGTTACAGGAACCTGAGGTGTGTAGGAATTGGCATGTAAAGAGCAGGGCTATTAATGCTGTTAATGCTAATGTCCCTATTCAACAACCCTTAATTCAGGGTTCAGTCATTTCAGTATTCTGCTCAGTGCCAGCCTTTTTTCCACTGAGTGCATGTCATCAAAAATTGGGTATAGGTAGATTTCAGACATTTGTGCCTTCAATATTGTTTGGTGGATCTGGCACCTCAATGTCTGGCATAGCTTTTGATGTGCTAATGGGACCTATTCAAAAAGAGCTCAGGGACCTCACACCCACATTTCTTCCTTAGCTTCTGTCGTGTTGGGGGTGTTTGCTGGGGTGACACTTTGTGGTGGGTTTATTCATTGTTCTGCTAAGTGCTATTATCTGCATCCCTGGGCAGATCATGGGTTTCTGGGGATATCAGACACCCCAAGTTTTTACAGGAGGGTTGGTAATAGGAACCTGAGGTGTGTAGGAATTGAAATGTAAAGAGCAGGGCTGTTATAATGCTAATGACCCTATTCAACAGTCCTATCTATTAAACCCACTTAGTGTAAGCTGAGCCACACAGCCACACAGTAACTGTTGTGTCCTATATAACAATGTGGCTTCAATGAATCCTGATGGAATCTGCAAGGAGAACCAGATGCTGTTGGACACCCTG